GAGAGAGAGAGAGAGAGAGAGAGAGAGAGAGAGAGAGAGAGAGAGAGAGAGAGAAATGAGAGAAAAAGAGATGAAGTGAAGAGAGCGAAAGTGAAATCTAGAGAATGTGGGAAAACACAAAAGTAAGGGTTTTAGTACTAATTGGATTGGGAAGGGGGGAAGAAAGAGATTAAAATTTTGAAAAGATGGTGGGCGGGAAATTCTTAGCCTAGTATTTTCGTGACTGAAGTTTCAACAAATTTGCAATTTTACAGAAAACATCAAAGTTGTACTTTATAATTTTTTCCATTTATCTTGGTTTTACTCTATTACAATGACTAATTTTATGGTTATACTAGTTATGTTCTGTATACTAGATTCATTTCTCATTTGTCCATGTATACATAAACTCAATTTCATTACTTAGTAAGATTTCAAATGAGACAAGGTGAATATTAACGAAAAACATATAAGAAGATAGTGTAATGACATCATGATTATTAATAACCAAATAATTTTTTTTTGTTCTAATAAAATCATAATCAACACAACCCAAAATAACTCAAAAAATACCATCTTAGTACTTTTGTAACAAGTTTAAAATTAACAATCCTATTACTCAGTCTACCTATCGTATTTATACCAATAAATGATAAAGTTTCACTTAGTTGCACAACACAAAATACAAATCTCACCTTTCAACGTCTCCTCTTGTGTTTTTTGTGGGGATGTTTATTGTGTTCCTTATGTTCCAAACCAGTACCCACATTATCTTCTTCTCCATATCCACTCTCACGCTCACCATAGTTCCTACTACATGAGCTTTCATTCTCAACTTTTGATAGTTACTCGGTTATTTGAGTTATTTTCAATTCCTAGGTATCCTCTACATGCAAAATACTTCTTCTTTGTTCTTTATCCACCGATGTTAGGTAAACAAACACATCTTCATCATCCAAAATATATGATTGTCTCTTAGGTTCCACTACCAGTGGAATGTAACCAAATTTCAGTCTCTTCGTAAATGGATATATTCCCATCTTCCTCCATATTCTCTCATTCAACAACAAATAAGTAATCTTTTCTAATGATGATGTCCTAAAGGATATACCATACAAACGACTATTGGTTGGAATCTCTTCATAATTATCTTTAGACTTAGAATAATGTCTATCATAATCAATCTGTATGTTTGTAGAAGATAGACTCATCTGCAATTAAAACAAAATTTAACCACTAAGTTATACCTAATTTATTCCTGGTTATTCAGTTATAGCATGTTAGTTATACGAAGTTATACCTTGTTACACAATTTTGTCAGTAACCAACTTTCCCAAATTTTCCAAACTTTTCTAGTTCTAGCTATTCGTCCTCTTCAATTCGTTTCAATAGTTATCATCTTGGATTCCTGACGTTCTATCTTTTCTTTTTCTTATGATTACAGTTGTTAATTATCCAATTCCTTCACACCTTCTGATCCTCAATTACTCTAGTCCAATTAGAATTGTAATTTGGAATCTCTGTAAATTGATCGTGCATGGTGGATTCTAAACATTTGATTATGACGAGTTATGAACGATTTAAGATACATATCCTGTCAACGGAATCAATAGCTCAATGATTCAGCATCCAAACAGACGAATTCAACCGACCTAAGCTATGATAACGATGAAGAAGAAGAAATGAATCCTGCAGATGAGAGAAGAAAAAACAGATCATTCTCGATTTGGAAATAAAAATAATTCAGAAGATTCTCGATTTTGACCGATTTTGATTGGTCATTAGTTCAGTCAAGTAGGGAGGGACACTTTCGCCATTAACTACCCATATGGAGAGTATCAGAAAAGAGAGGAGTATGTGAAATGAGTTAGAGTATGACAAAATGAATTTTGTCTCATTAAGAGCATTCCAGCATTTCACCCGACTATTTAACAATTTTTTATAAGAAATTAGGAGTTGAGACATATAGTAAATCATAATAAGACTTAAATCTCATAAGTTTTATATATCTATCATTATTCAATATATTTTCTTTAAGAGGCAGAATGCAATGTTCTTCAAAATCAATAAATATTTTAGTCAATATTATATATGATTTTTCAAAATTTAATAAGATCAATAAATTTGATTAACAAAAATACTATTTATTTATAAATATGTAAAATCAAGAAAATAAAATAAAAGCATGTGATTAGAATACAAATGAAGTTTATATGATAAAAGTTAGAACTTAAAAATTAAAATCAAATGATATTTGCTTATACGAAATCAAGAAAAGTTTTAAAAGAAAATTAAAAGAGATATAGAGTATATGTGCTAGCAAAAAAAAAACAATAATTTTATTAGAAAACTAAAAATTAAAAAATAAAAATCTAACTTCTTCTTTTGGGTACATAAAAAATATTTAATAAAATAGTTTAAAACCTAATAAAATCTAAATAAAAGTAATTCATTGGTTACCCGATAGTTTAACCAATGACTAAGTTACGCGTTTATAGCGGATTTTATTTGATTTTTAATTAGTGGGTATTTCTTAAAATCCGAACTGTATTACTTATTGGATCACCGGATTTAACAGTTGGACAACAGGTCTGAATCAGGCGTGAAAACATTGGTTTTAACTATCGAATTACAAACCTCGGTGACAAAATAAAAAACATCAACCTAAATTTGTAAATGAAAGTGAAAGAGAAAATGACTAGAATAGACCTAATTTTTTTTTATCACAAATATAGATCTTAACAATTAAAATGACCAAAATAGCATTTAAGTGTTTTATTAAATATACATTTATACTCCTTAGATTAACTAATTATAGATTTTTTTTGTTTAAATTTAAAGAGTGGGATTTTAGGAATAAGGTTTCGGATTTTTAAAAAATTAAGAAAACTTAATATTTTTAAAATAAAAAATGCTATTTTGGTCATTTTAACTTTTGAGGTCTATTTTTGTGATAAAAATTAAAAGAGGACTATTTTTAAAAAATTGCCCTAAATGAAATGGTTTTCAAATAAAGAGTTACTTTGAGTTGAGACAAGCTACAACAAAAACAAAATTTTGCAACTGTAACATTCATTACTCAGCAGAATCTGACTCGTTCTCTTCTTCATTTTCTGACACCAAATCCTCATCCGAATCATTCTCACTTTCCTCTGCATCTTCTGAGACCACGTCCTCATCTTCTAGTGCATCAGTTCCATTTTCCTCGTCTGTTTCAGTCGACTCTATTGCTTTACCATCACCCTTGAGGTCTTTCTCGTCGAAGAAATCCCTTTGGACAGGAACATCCTTCTGTTGTTGGGAGGACATGATGCCAGCGATGGCTTTCAATGCAGCAGTTGCTTGATTGTTATCAGCGATAGCTTCCTGGTCTATACCTGGCACTGTAACTTCTGCTTCTACTTCTGAAGCCTTGTCTTCTAACTTAGGAGGTGGCACAAAGAAAGGTATTCGACCTCTTTGCCAGTCATGGAGTATCATCTTTGCTCCTGTCATCAGATCCGGCTCTCCACCCTAAACAAAGTTAACAAGTTCAAGGTCATTGCCCACAAAACAGAGTAAGATTTAAGTTATCAAGCAAATTTTTGCAGCTTATCCCAATTGTACACACCTTTAAAAGTTTGCCAGACGCTTTGCATAGCTGAAGAAGAAAGTCATGATCATCCTCCCTATACATAATGATACTGAAGATTGATATCTTTAACCTACAAAAGTAGGCATGACGAAGAAAAAAGTGAAAGTTCCCTACCAGTCCTTGATTTTATAGGCTCTCTGCAAGTGCTCCTTCTTGACACGTCTCAGGACTTCTCCAATGTGCTCAGATGCATCCTCCAGGTTTGTAACTCTTACCTATATATTGAAAAGATTGAATCAGTAAGATATATTCATTTCTTGCAGAGAACCCAACAGCATGCGTCTAATATGTTACTTCTCTAAAGAAAAGACTAATAATACAAAGATACATACCACTCCCTTGAGAACAATATCT